ACTATTTTGAACACCATTTATATTGATCCCGTTGGTCCATCATCAAGTACAGCCACAGGAAACCGGTGCATCTTAGTACTAACAATGAATCACTTCTCAATGTTTGTCGAAGTTGCAGCGGTGCCCTCTCTCGCCGCCGGCTTCGTGATCAAAATTCTTCGGACCCAATTCAAATGGAAAGATCACCTACCTAAAAAGGTCAATTCGGACAAAGAAACTGCGTACCGAGGTTATCAACTCTGATCATGCCTCAGAAAGGCGGGTGTCGAACATCATTTCACTTCAGCATACCATCCCAACGCGAACCGCCTAACAGAGAGGTGCAACCAGCCACATACGCAATTAACATGGCATTTCAGGTTTCTATTACAATTTCGTCGTAGAAGTCGCCTACAAGCACATTCTAAAACTGACTGCCATCCAGAACTTGAGCCACACCTTGGTTGTCGAGCGCATGGCTTCACGACAGATCAGCTGCCGCGCTATTCGGTGTAAGGCACGCAAGTCAGCTGCAAACGCGTACGAGGCCACGAAACAGTACCACGACCACTGCCACTGATAAGCACCGTGAGACTAAGTCGGAGATGAGGTCTGGGTCTAACGATTGACGTTATCACCAGGAAAAAAAAAACTGCCCTTAAAGTACGAAAGACCTTTCGTCATCACTGAAATCCTGGGTGAAAATACACGGCGAATAGGTTATTCTGCAAGTGAAACGATTGCTGACGAATGCGGGAAGAACCGTTTTTTTATTCACATTTCTTGCCCGAAGAAATTATAGCTTTGGTTGAACTGACGAGTCGGTGTTTTGTGTACTCGTCTTTTTTTTTTTTTTTGCTGAAACGCATGGACAGAGTGTGGCTGAATGTGATGACCGAAGACGAAGCGCATAACTGCATGGGTTGTGGGCTGACCACGGGCTCCGCACAGAAAAGTCACAGCTTTGCCGCAAAGGTGAAGCAATGAACATGATAGCAACAAATTGGAAGGCCATGCGCAGATTGGCAAGCAGATCAAAACGTTCCCCGCATTTCTCGCGCACTAATGACGCACGAAACGTACTCATAAGTAGAGATGAACGCGCATAATCATCTCAGTTGTTACTTCGCTGTGTCTGAAAAGCGCGCCCTTTTCGCAAACGGAGACTGCGCTACGAGTACAGAGGCCATTATGCGCCCGGTAACTACAACAGAATCACTCCGGTGAAAGCCCCAAGCGTACGATTGTCCCCACCGCGAGGTAAGCGAGCGCTTGCGAGAGCGTCCCCTCTGCGCGGAGCAAAGTACGCGTGGGAAATGAGGGTGTGCGCCACGCGTTGTGACCATAAAGTTTCATACAATAATACCTAGAGAAGAATCTGGTGCTGCGATCGCGTACCTTCATGATAATTATGAAAAGTTGAGGAATTATGGGAATTATTCGCGTACCTGCACGGGAATTATGGTCACAGTCATGTAACAACATGACTTCATGCCACGCTCATGATGCACTCGAAGTCGTTTCTCTAGCTTCACATATAAAAAATTTGGTATTACGATACGTGAATGGACAACAAAGGTAAATGACAGGTCCAAACACGATAATCATGACACGCTTGTCATGTAAGAACATGACCACGAGCGACACTCATGATGCGCTCACGAAAGTTTCGCTAGCTTCACAAATATCGAATTTGGTATTACGTGATGTGAATGAACGACAAAGGTAAAAAACATGTCTAAAGTTAATACTCGTGATATCATAGGCATGTCATGTTAAACATGACTACATGCTACGCTCCTTATGCGCTCGTGGCCATTTCGCCAGCTTCACTATACCAAGTTGGGTATTACGTGACGTCAGCGAATGACGAGTATGCGATTGGTGAAAACATGATAACCACGACATGTGCGTCATGTAAGAACATGACTACATGCCGCGATCGCACCATTTCGCTCGCTTCACATATACCAATTTTGGTGTTACGTGACGTGAATAGATGAGGAAGGTATATGACAGGTGCAAACATGATAATAATGATATGCGTGTCCTGACGGAACATGGCGACATGTCACGCTCATGATGTGCTCGAGGCCGTTTCGCTTGCAAACTAAATTTAATCATGCGAATATAGTAAACGCAGATAAATATTTCCGTTCACTCGTTATTTACGATATTTCTTCTTGGTTCAAATAGGTTTATATGAGGCAGCCAAGACCGTAACATATGAACTTAAATCAAGAAACTACTTTCCCGGCGTGGAACGGAGTCAGTAGCGGATCAGTGTCGTGTTGAGGAGCGTCCTCTTCACCTGGACGAGGCCCGTCGCTCCTGAAGTCAACGCGCTGCCTTTTGCATGCGTGCGTGTTGATTCATCATCACCATGCAGTGGAGTAGGTGTCTGCAAGCGCAAAAGTGTGGTCTTTTTTCAGCTGTCGTGCGAGGCACATCAGATGCAGTTGAACCTTGTGGCCCCCGTCGCTCACGAGATGTCAGCATTAGAGCTAGCCGATTTCGCAAAGTTTTTCTGGTTTTTTGCTGCAAGGTTATGTCTTTTTGGCAGCTCCGGCAAAACGGTAGGCAGGCATCCAAAGTGAGCGTATACACAGGTTTCTTCGGGTCATGCAACAGGACGTTTTCATTATATTCTGAATATGTTGAAGACATCGCTTCTTCTGGGAAGTGCTTCGCACGCACATGATCAGTAGGCTGCAAGGCTCTGTCACACTCTATATTAGTCCGACATCACGACTTGTAATTCATTTTGCATGCGCAATTTTTTATGAGTGTTAGATTGCCGGTATCAGCAGAGATAAGCTGATCTGCGAGAAGATTGAGGCTGGAATGATTGATAGGCTGGCAGACAGCTGTAATTAAAGAACACCTAGTTTGCCCTCTCCTGTACGGAGTCCACCTAGATAAGTAAATAAATAGCTTTGGCTCTGCATTGCGCATCAGCTTCAGCTACGGAAGGTAACGGGTTCGATCACGAGTGCCGGCCGGCCACCCACCAGTTTCCTATGTGTACAGGCGGGCTTCGGGGTGCAAAGCGGCGGCGCCGTTCGGAGCTTACTCAGCCTGGAGGACTCCCAACCGTTTGTGCGGGACCCAGTATGTAAGTAAACATTAGGTGAATTTTCTAAGTGCTTGTAATCATGACAGTTCTAAAGCGATGTTGTCTATGTAGATGTGGTTGCCTGTTTCTGGAATAAATATTGTTTCACAATGGCACCTGTGGGTGACCCATATTCCTCTTTCCGTATTTTTTGTGCGCTATAAAACCAAAAACGGAGGAGGCTCGTCTTGAACAACCGGGACTCAGAGTAACAATCAGTATTCATTTGAGGATATATTCGTAATCGCTGTCTTTGTAATTTACTTTATGCATACAGTAAACACAGATGTTTAGGGGAGGAAAGTGGTCTGAAATCGTCAGGCCTCGCGCTCTGAGATCTCCTCATTCTTTGTAGTTGTTTTTTCGCCCACCTACCCAATCCCGTAGTCGAAACGCCACAAAGCGAACCCTGCAGAACGCAGTACGTATACAAGAGTATGAAGTGTCGGTGGATCTCTGTGGAGAAAGCGCGCGCGCCACCCCGTCCGTTTGATCAAAGCTGCGAGGTTGGCTCGAATGACATAAGCCTCCCTCCAGCACCCCTTCATGCGCATTGGGAGTTTTATTTCTACTTTTTCCGCCGCTAGACATTGCAAGAGTTCACTCGCGCACTGAACACATTACTCGTGGCGCATTATTATTGACTTAGACTTTATGCCGATCGTTACGATGACGGTGCAAATATGCCTCGAAGTTCCCAACATTTTTTATCTCTAACAATAACGAATAGCACAGTGTCATGTGCTTTTATATCTTATATAACTGTGTACTTTGAATATACACAGATTTTGCTACAGCAAAAAGTGTTCAATAAAAAAAATTGGCAGAATATCCACGGAGTGAATGATGGAGAGTGGGGCGAAGCATTCGTCCGTCCATTCGTTCTTGCTTCCGTCCATCCATGCGTCCGTCTGTGTGACCGTCCATGCGTCCATCTACCCGTCCATGTGTGCGTCTGTTCATGCGCCCGTCCCTGTGTTCGTCCATGCATCCGCCCCTGCATCCGTTCATGCGTCCATCCATGCATCTGTCTGTGTGTCCGTTAGTCCATCTGTTCAACATTCCAAGTACCACCATCTCACATCTTTTCATCATATATTCCCTTTATAGAAGCACCGCCATCCAGCGGACATTCCAAGGACTAAACGAGAGGTGGCACACGCGCACTTTCTGACGGCTTGCGCTTCGGGTCTACTTCCCACCTTTATCCACCTCGAGTTCATGGTATACACTAGTTCACTGTATTCATGGCACTGCGGCCCAACGCTCGCTAAACCTTTCTAAAACCAAGGAGGTTACGCCCAGCCAGTATAACGTAGCAACTTTTTCCTGTCAGATAGTGCTCAATGTACATGCCCATGGCTGCTAATGGGAAATGAGAGACCGGAGAATTCGGCTTTTACTTTCTTACGGCTTGCGCTTCGTATCTACTTTCCACCTTTAACCACCTCGAGTTCATTCATGGTATATACTAGCTCATTGTTTTCATGACACTGCAGCTCAACACTCGCTAAACCTTTCTAAAACTAAGGAGGTTACACCCAGCGAGTATAATGTACCAACTCTTTCTCGTCAGAAAGTGCTCAATGTACATGCCAATGGCTGCTAATGGGGATCGCAGCGTGCGCCTTAACTAAAAGCCAAATGCTTCTGTCTCTCATTCTCCATTAGCAGCCATTGGCATGTACATTGAGCACTATTTTTTATTGTTCAACAACGCACAGAAGAAATGCCTCACGGGCACCACCTTTGAGGTCAAAATGTTATACTTGTCACATACTACAACGGCTACGAGGGACGAACGGGTGCCGCTATAAAAAGCTTCGCCCCAAAAAACTTGGCCCGGCAAACTTAAGAGTATCAATATCTGAAGACTGCAATATTACCGTCGTAAAAATAATGTATGTTCTGCAAACAAACGCTGCTACCAACTCCTTTATTTATTTTAGTTACAGTAAAATAATGCGAAAAGTTTACTATCAGAACATTCGTATAACTGGCCTTGAATGCGAGAGGTCAACAATTCGGTGAAGTGATGGCGTCACCCAATCCTTTACGCAACCACTGTAGAGGCATGGAGCCACAATTATGCAATGATGAATGTCGGTTACGAAGGGCTGGCTTTGAGGGCACGTGATCGGTCGCCGGTTTGGTAACGTCAGCGCGGCGCCGATTGCGTGCTTGCAAAGCGAGCTCTTCGGGAACCGTATTCTTGCGAAATGCGGCCTCCGATTCGTGTATCATCGGGTGTGCCTTATGACGCTTTATCTTTGGCTTTGGCTGCATTCTCACACTCCATGACATCCAGAGACACCTGGGAAGCGAAGTAGAGGCACACCAGCACAGGCAGCAGTGGCAGAGGGAAACCTGTGGGGAAGACGAAGAGGCAAATAATGTAAGTCTATCTATCTATCTGTCTATCTATCTATCTATCTATCTATCTATCTATCTATCGATCAATCTGTCTGTCTGTCTGTCTGTCTGTCTGTCTGTCTGTCTGTCTGTCTGTCTGTCTGTCTGTCTGTCTGTCTGTCTGTCTGTCTGTCTGTCTGTCTGTCTGTCTGTCTGTCTGTCTGTCTGTCACTCAACACTTCTAAACGACAGAATTGGACAACACAGCCAAATTTCTCATTGGCAGTGGAAATTAGAATTCTGGGTTTGATGATGTCGCAGGTGACGAGAAAGTCAAACCGCAACGGGAAATGTGGGATTCAGCAGGATGACATTTTCATTGACTATAAGGACATGTGCAAGTAGTGAACCTGAAAACCGAACTGAATACGAATCAAAAGGTGATGACGGAAAATGCAATATGTATAGAACCTGAATGCTATGGAAATAGCTTTTGAATAGTAAAGTCACCATTGTAGAAAAAGTTCTATTATTTAGTATTATTTTATATGGAACTTACAGACACATACAGTTAAAAGTGGGAGGATGCATGCGATTCCGTTGGTTCACATGGCCACAATGACACGTTGAAGGACTGGACATGCCCTGTTGCTCACTTCCTGGCTAACTTCAGTTTATTCACACACTGACACTTAATACAAACAAAGGACAGGGCGGCCACTTAACCGACCACACTGCATATAGCACTGGGCTGTATTAACGTCAGCGTTGCTTACTGAGCCCTTCGTATACTCCACACATCGGCACCAACTTCTCGACCTTGGATCAGAGTCGGCGTCAAGCATGAAATTGGTGCTCGCTACCCGATCTCGTTCTCGAGCACCAATTTCCCCTCCTATTCAATTCTCTCCTTTAAATACCTCCCGTCTCATCTGAGACCACCTCGTGGGACGAACCCCTTCTTGATGTTTCAACAGTGCAGCAAACAACTTTCCTTAGCAGTAAGAATCCTGCCATGTCGACCCGCCTGATTGTGCATTTGGAACAGCATCCTGTCTGCTCCGCAGTCTATCCTGATTCAGCCACGGCCAGGCTAAAGGAGTGGCACGCGCGCACTCTGTGCCGCTCTACTACCCCAGCCGTGAATCAGCCGACACCAAACAGCGGCATCGAGAAGGGGGGCTTGCGGGCAACCTGGCAAAGGGGACATGCCGCCGGGCACACGGAGTGTTCACCGGGCGAGCGGGGCTGCCAGTGTTGAAGGCTGGCGCACAACTGAAGTGTCCAAAGTTGTATGCAGCCTCGGCAACTGCACTTTGGGGAAGTCACACCACAGCCAGCAAGATTCCACAGATTTCACCCTTCAAGCTGTACCAAAAACACAGATGATATAGTGCGAACTGACACTGCTATTGAAGACGCTGCGGTCATGTTAGGTGTTACAGCAGTCCCTTTCGATGTGTTCTCGGAGCCCACCGAGACAAATGTGCTTGGTTGTAGTAACGATCTGTCACCGATCGATATAGATGCTGCAGAGGATCGCAGCCCACCAGAGGCTTCTGTCAAGACGAAATCACTTCAGCATGGGGTGCCCTTCGCCGACCACCTTACATCGCTCCCGCCGCACGCATTTCTCCCCGCACTGGCCATCCACTTCAAGTCTTCCGACCCCGATCTGGCACCTCAACATTTTCTGCATCATTTCTCTGCCGCGCCGCCAAAGAATGGAATGACCTTCCCCACGATGTTGTTTCAATCACCTGTCCATCCCGTTTTATTCAAAGTGTGTCAATGCATCTACAATGTTAACCTGTGGCTTTTGTATCTTTGTTGTACAACCCACCCCTTATGTAACACCCCCCTGCGGGGTCTTTAAGGAAATAAAGTGAAAGTGAAAGTGAAAGTGAAAGGCCCACGTAAAATGATGAGGTTTTCGAGAACGGTGGGAAGAATGGAGGAGTGGAAGGTTTGAGTGATGACGATAGCTTCGCCTATACAAGATCGAAAAGCTTCCTCCTCAAGTTCACCTCGACACCCTGTGTAATTGACCATGCATTGCCCGATGTGGGTGAGGACTTCACGGCGGGTAGCTTGAGGGCCTTTGGCCAGGAGGTTGCCATCTCAACTACGTTATCTGTATAAATTTATCTGTGCTGCCATTTTCTCTTTAGGGGCCTTTACTTATGAGTTCTCCAATGTGTAGGTATGCGTGGCTGCCAGGAACTATAGTAATAAAACTAACTGGTTGAATAATTATTAGTATATTATCCTAATGTGTCTACAACCATATATATGTACCAAAAATAAGGGTTTGAATTTAATTTATTGTAAAACGTTTTCAGTATATTTATATGTATTAGATCCAGCGCCCTAATTTCCTAGGTAATCTGCAATCTTTCTAATATATAACCTACATTATTCTAAATCTTCATGCTATTTTATAAAACCACTCAATTGTTTACAAATCACCCACATTAGGCATGTGCCACAGGCAATACATGAACAAAAAAGTGCCAGAAGAGCGAAGCGAGCATGTTCAGAGCACCTCTGTGAATTCAGGCTCAGTAGGTGGCTGGAAAATGTGGCTAGAGGTATCTTACTTGTGAATGAACGATAAGTGCACGTGAAAAGACTTGAGAGATAGTGAACCAAGCGAGCACAGTATTCGGTAAAAGAGCCGAAAACATCCGACTAGGGGAGGGGGGATGAAAGCCCACATACACAGCCTTGACAGGTACTCAATTAGCAACGGCAAGTTATTGCTAAGCCGCTGCAAGCAACATGTTGATGAGATAGATAACAAGAGGCCTAAATGTGTTGGGCAGATCACGTGGCAAGTCGGAAACAAGCTCTAGTACACTGACTATATTTCCATGACTGAAGAAATTTGTCACAAACTGAGAGAAATGACAATAGGGGAGGAAGTATTAGCAGCTTGGGTAGTGGTCATAAACGCATAACATTATAAATTCGATACGAAACTGGAAATGAGTGTATAGAAGCAGTTTGGCAGCTCGTATTTTGAATGCAAAGCAAATTACAAAGTCTCAAGCACTGCTTGAGACTGTAGTGAGCCATTACGTGTAAAGACGAATTCGTGAGGCAGGGAAAGCAAAGAAAACTGTTTGACAGAAAGAGAAAGGCAGAAAGCTGGTTGAAAAAGAAAATTCGGCAAGCAATACAGAGGAGACGAGAAGCATCACGTTAGCGTAAACAGTCAAAAAAAAGGATAAGTGGCCTCAGAACGAAGACAACAAAATATACAATGTATATACAGAAAAAAAATCCTTTGTACACAAATTAGTTGAGGTAAAAATTAAAAGTAAAAGTGAAGTCGGAGTGACAGATGCACTGGGAATTGAACACACTGAGAATTCAGGCATCCACGCCTGTCGCTCGACGCCATTTGCTCTTCAAGAGTTCCCGCGCCTCTTTCCCCCCGACCGGACGGATGGCAGCTGGTCATGAACCGCTGTCAGTTCGCTTCCATCCCCGCTTCTCGAATGATCCACACGGTGTCCCATTGGTCTAATTATGGCGGCATTCGGGTCTTGCTCGTGCTTGCCCGACAAGCGAGGGCGCGAGATGGTGTGCGTAGAGACCACTTCAGGAGGGTGCGCATGCGTTTTGACCTCTCCGGCCGGCGGCGATCCTTCGCCCTTTGTTCTTTGTCGCCGCCGGCTGGTGGTGACGTCGTCGCATCGTGGCCTCGGCGGGAGTGCGCTCTTTCCCGCGGTCTCCAAGTCCCAAGGTGGCGCACTCGCAATCGTGCACCTTACGCTTCTCTCAATTGTGCCCTTGCCTGTATTCTGCCTATTCTGCTCGTTACGGGTGCGCGATGGCGAGCGTGCTGGCCGAAGGGTAGGTTGGCACTTCAAACTTTGTTTTTTGTTCGTTCATTTATTTCCCATTCAAAACTGTTGTGAGATCAGAATACGCGTCACGCGCGGCGCCGTAATTGTCCGGCGCCACCGCCGCTGGTGTCCGTAACCAGTATTGAGTGAAAAAACTCAGTAAATAAAACACACTAATGACACAATGGGGTTAGAGCCCGCGTCCGCTGCATGCCAGCCCACTACTCTACAACTGAGCCACGCCAGGACTTGGAACTCGTTTCTTAACTGGCCTTAGGCGGGCTTGATGTCGGGAAAGGCATCGTGCTCATATGAGTAATAAAGCGTTTTAGAACATCAAACGAACGACCGGGCGTGACACAATGCGAATTATACGTTACCAGTGGGTCATCCAAGTCTCCAACCCATTAAAAAATCTTGTTATCGATCACCTATTAAGTGTGGCGCGTCCCCACTTCAAGCATAAGTCTTCATCGTCGTGAGCCACTGCATGCGAAAGTTTAACAAAATTCCTAACGAGTGTGGTGGGTACCACCCTTCTGCAAAGAATGACAAAGGATACCATTGTTAATGCCGGCCTACTACACAACGTTTGTGATTATTTATGGCGTAATGCGTACCCAGCAGTGTGTTTGTAGCAACCCAAAAAGTGCTTAGGAAAGGCTCTGAAAGGCCGCACTTCTCGCATGAGCTGTGATTGTGCTGCACCCTTCGCGCAGGCCTGGCATTTTTAAAATGCGAAGCGTTTCTTGGTGAATTTTGGTTACTTTAAGCGTATCTATCTATCTATCTATCTATCTATCTATCTATCTATCTATCTAGCCGCTTACGTTTGGTTGCTCTCGTGGTCACCCCCAGTTAACTTGGCGTGAACCGAAATTAGCATGGGAGGGTAAGATGGTCTGATGAATATGACGCGCTGGTCAAGACATCAATAATGTCACAATCCTGCCGCGTACGTCGTCAAACACTTCCCGCCCCACAGTGGCACATACTTATGAGCGGGTACGGGCCACTGGTATGCGCCGCAGGTGATTGACACTTATTATTTACCCAGGAAGGACAAGAACACATATGGGCAATTTTAACGCCCGAACATGAAGAAATACCCGACAACAGTAGTCTCGACGCGACGAATGCAAAGAGTAAATGTGAGGGTCC